TGCGTGTGTGCATTTGTGTGCGTGTGTGCATTTGTGTGCGTGTGTGCGTGTGTCTGTATATCTGTGTATATTTGTGTGGCTGTGTGTGAGTGCGTGTCTGCGTGTGCTTGCGGATGTTGAGAGCAGGGAAGCATCAGGAGGGCCTGTGAATATTATGGCTGTGTGGCTTGAGCTTTAGGGTGGACGAAGTTTTCAAAAATTGGTCTGAGACACTTCCCTCCATGTTACAGGAACATTTTCACTTTGCTACCTATCTTTGAGCAGATAATTCTTTAAAGAGTCATATGGACCCACGGCTGCACAAAAAAGGTAGCAACACTTTTTCAGCAGAGAGCAACTCTATACTTGCTGCTGGCATGTGACATTCTGACCTTTGTTATCACTGTTGTATGAGACAGTTGGTACCCAGAAAAGGTTATCTGATATCATGCAATTAGCGCTGCCCAACAGAATTTAAGGAAAGGCTCATAGGGGAGCTAACAAATGTGTTCGAGGTTTCAGTTCAATAATTCTAGTGCTTAGTCCATGCAGTTAACAGTACCGCAAACTTATTCTTAAGTCTAGCCTGATGCTTTATGTAACCTAGATGTAATGTGACCATCTATTAAGTACTATTAATAAACCTATTATATTTATCAAGATAGAAACTCTCTTCTGCCAAAGACACCATGTGGGCATCCTTTCCCAGTTGATATCAATAATTTAGACTGAGAACAATCAGCATTAGGGACAACAAGGTGCAGGGCTGGATGAACACAGCAGGCCAAGTAGCATCATAGGAGCAGAGAGGCTTGCCTGCTGTGTTCATCCAGCCCTGCACCTTGTTGTCTCGGATTCTCCAGCATCTGCAGTTCCCACTATCTCTGAATCAGCATTAGGGTTGGGGTTACCCTAATCCTAACCCTAAATTACTCAAGGCTTCCCAGGTGGTTCTGGTGACACAACCATAATATATACCAATTGGACAGTGAGCCAGATTTTGCCACATAAAACTCATTGGTTTGTCATGCATCAAATGCGTTAATACATTGATAAAATCACATTGGCTAAGGAACCGGAGTCCTGACACTCTGCACCAGGACCACATTAGGCACTCTCAAATTTTAGTCTCTGCTTAAAGGAACACAATAAATGGCAATGTTAATTTAACAAGAAAAGGAAAACTTTCCATTTGATTTGAAACAAATTCACCTTCCATTGTCTTATTGTACATAGCTAGTGATACCTCTAAGTATTTATTGAAACCAAAATGCACTTGAGCAGGATATTAGATATACAGTAATTAACATTAATGGAGGTGAAGGATACATCCTTACATCTAGAAATCAACAACAAGGTCAAGGACTCTACACTATTACAAGTCATTGCAGTGCTTTTATGAAATCCACCTGTGAATCAACATCACTACATAGAGTAGTAGGAGGAGGAGGTCAATGGAGCCTTGAGGTACAGCATCACTGGTATATAATAGTAAATACATTTATGGGCTAATAAAACACATATTTTTGTACAGCATTAAAAAAATGATGACCACAAACTTACAGTGGCAGTCATCAAAGCAAAAAATATGCAAAAAAAAGTGATGCTGGAGAACACACTTTGTAAATATTTGCAGTACCTTATTGAAACGTGTTCAACACCAACAGCATCTGTGTCACCGGCTAAAGGAGGAGCAGGAAGAAGAATTGACTCGGTAACGTCACTGCACACAGTATTGCTGAAAAAAAAAGTTAAACATGAGTGGAACTGCAACTGTTAACAGCACAAACACAGTTTTAAATATTCAGGTCCAGTACCTCACTCATTGATTAGAGCTAGCTCAGACCATTATCAATAAGCAAAAGCAAAACAATATCTTTCCAGTGATCTAAATTATTTCAAACTCATCAAAAAAATGGAAAGTCATGGGCTGTGATTGTCAATTGTCTGTTACACGTTACCAGCTGACAACATTTCTGTTGCCCATGTGCATTAAAAAAAAAACTGTTGCACTGCAAAGCCGAGTAAAACCTATGGTGCTGTGATTTCTAGTCAGCATGATATATGGATTCCATTTATCTTTGATCTGCTAAGGGTCGTCATTGAGAGGAGCTTCACCATTATGAATCAAATTTCCTAGGCCACTTATTAGACCTTAGGGATGCAGCTGAGGTGAATCTCTAGTCTCCCCATAAGTATTATAGCACTACCCTGACTGCATTGCCTGAGGGTGCTTGGTACTAGATAGACAGAAGTTCTTCCACTTGATACAACTGTTAGCTATTTCAGAGAAAACAGAATAAAACAAATAAAGTCTGTAAATCTACCAGACTCCTCAGGCTCACGATAATAACATTTGCCTCCATCTGATAACTTCACATAAATAGCAATAAAAGTTTTCCCTGCGAAAGACTTAAAAGAACTATACCTCTGAATCACGACAAATGCTGTCCCCTGTGCAGTGGATTGTGAATGCATGTCTGAACTTAGTCATATTTGCATCAAATTTTTTTACTTTCTAGAAACATGAAAATAAAAAAATTCTCCCCGGCCATGTAAATCATATTGCACAAAAATGACATAAAATTATTCCTATACTCAAGCAGTTCTTACTTTTCGCCTGTTCAAAACACCAAAGCACACAACAATCCTCACCCAGAATAACAAAACAACTGGTTACCATTTTGCTGAACATACCTTAGATTCTTAGACTTTGGGGAGTCCAAAACTAGGAAGCATAGGTGTTAGGTGAGAGGGGAAAGATTTAAAAGGGACCTAAGGGGCAACTTATTCACGCAGAGATGGTGTGTGTATGGAATGAGCTGCCAGAGGAAGTGTTGGAGGCTGGTACAATTACAACATTTAAAAGGCATTTGAATGGAAAGGGTTTAGAGGGATATGGGCCAAATACTGGCAAATGGGATGAGAATAATTTAGGATATCTGGTCGGCATGGACAAGTTGGACCGAAGGGTCTGTTTCCATGCTGTACATCTCTATGACTCTATATGTAGCACCAGAGTGTGGCTCATCTGTACCATCTGATTGTAGAAGTGAAGAAAAATTGCAGATAGCAGAAGACAATTCGCTTTCTTTTCACAATCAAAAGGCTCAGGGACATTGACTTTAAAAAAAATCACCAACAATACGTCTCAAAACGTGCTTTAACTTCCGAAAAGAAACTGGTTGGTGACAACTTGTTACAACTCTATTAATTACTCAATTACTCAAAAAGAGTTAAAATCTTATCATGTATTTTGGTGCAATTAAAAAAAAGGCAAGAGATTTGATAAAATTTGCAAGCAACAGAAATCTAATTGTATGCTCAGGTGTTTAAATCCTTGCTAAATGTTAAAAACAATCCATAAACAGAACCAGTAACGCAGACTTGTGACTTATGCACTGTATAGGTGGGTCATACAAATTCATACAAACAGGGCATGCAGTCAACCCAACTAGGTCGCCATCCAGGCAGAGAAGTCAAAAGGAATCTCCATCAGGAAACACAAAAAGTGATCACCAGCAAATAATATGGTAATAGCTTTCTTGTTCTAATGTTGGGTTCCTAGAGTAATCATTGCCTTCCCAGTTGGAGTCAGTTATCTCTTCGCAGCAATCAAGCCTGGAACCAGCCACTTGTACAACACTGAATGGATTACCAATGGGCAATCAGTGATATTAGATTAAGAATCTTCCTGTCTGTACGTTTTGGAGTCTCATCTATGAGATAACATCTAAAAACCATACAAAAATTTCCCAAAACCACACAATGTAATGCTTGAAAAGCAAAAAGGTAGCAACCACTCCAACCAGTGAAGTGATATGGTATATCAAGTAGTAATCCTTCTGATGACCATCATAATGGCTGATGCCATTGTGGGTCCTTGAAAGGTATTTAAGGTCAAGAATAAAATCTTTGAAAGCTTTGTTTTTCCTCAAGATACTAGCTGCTAGTAGCATAGTGGTACTGTCACTAGCCTAATAATCCGAGGGACTTGGGCTCAAATCCCACAATGGCAGATGGTGAAATATGAATTTATCATTCCTGTAGACTGGAAAGTAGCAAATGAAAACCTACTATTTTAGAACTGAGGAACTAGGAGAATGGAGAATAACATATCTTTTATTTGAGATCAATAGGACAGAAAATGCTAGGATCTATTATAAAAGGATATGGTAACTGAAGATTTAAGACAGCTAAAATTGGTTTATGAAAGGAAATTATATTTTACATACTTGCTGGGAGTATTTTGAGGATATTACTTGTAGCATTGATAAAGGACAAGGAATGGATATGGTGTATTTGAATTTTCATGAGGCTTGTGATAAGGTCCCCTAGAGTAGGTTGGTAAACAAAATTAGAGTACATGATATTGAGAATTGGTTAACAGTCAGAAAGCAAAAAGAGTAGAATAAATGGATCATCTTCAGGATGACAGTTTGTGACTAGTGGGTCACAACTGTTCACAATCTACACAAATGATCTGGATGTCTCAGCAATTGTAATACTTCCAAATTTTCTGATCACACCAAACTAGATGGGAGCACGAGTTGTGAGGAGGATACAAGAAGATTTCAAGTGGACTTTGACCGGCTCAAACCAACCGAGAGAACATCTAGTCAATAAGTAAATGATGTTGGTAGAAAAAATAGAAAGCAGAATGTTTCTAAAATGGTGGGAAGTCAAGAACTGATCGACTCGAACCGACAGAGACAACATCCTGTCCTGCAATTGGATAGCCTGGCTCATGAGTAATTTAAAGTTATGATGCAGTTGCAGGAAGCCAAGTGGCGCGTTGGCCTTCACAGCAAGGAGATTTGAGAAAATAGGAATGAAGATGGTTTGACGACATTGTGCACAGCCTTAGTGAGACGTCATCCAGAGTAATTTAAGGTGGGGTAATTGTTTTCTAATTAACCTGTTCAGAGGTGTTATGCACACACCTGGAATAGGTGGGACATGAACCTGGGCCTCCTAGATTAGAGGTCAGGATTCTACCATTGCACCCAAAAGCCCTCTGCTAAACAGGGAAATAATTTCCATAAAAGGTGTGCAACGATGGTTCACCAGCTCAATCCCTGTGATGGCGGAATTATTATATAAAGCGAGATTGAGACTGGTTCCATATTCCTTAGTTTTGCACGATGAATGCTCATCTCTTTGAAACTTCAAAGGTGTGAAGTTTCAGGGCGACAGGTTTGGTGAAGATAAGATGTTTTCTCTGGCTGGTGAATCTGAAACCAGAGGACACAATATTATGATATTCGACAGAATATTTAAGATTGACATGAGGTTGAGTTTCTTCACTCAGAACCCGATGAACCTTTGCAATTCTCTACCTCAAGGACTGTGGAAATTCAATCATTGAGCATGTTCAAGACAGCAGTTAATAGATTTCTGGAGACAATGAGTACAAGGAATGTGGAGATAGTGCAGGAAAGCCCTGTTCAGGTAGATGATCAGTCATGATCTAATTGAATGGCAGAACAGGCTCGATACCCTGAAAGGTCTACACCTGTTCCTATGTCCTATGTTCCTATATACAAGAAGAGAAAATCTTATCATTTCTCCTTGACATTCAAGGGTATTACCATCACCGAATTCCCAGCTACTAAAATCCTGGGGATTACCACCGATCAGAAATTGAACTGGACCAGCCAAGTAAATACTTTGCCAAAAAAAGCAGGTCAGAGGCTGTGTACTCTGCAAAAAGTAACTCACCTCCCATCTGCACAAAACTTGTTCACCATCTCCAGGGCACAGGTCAGGATTGTGATGGAATACTCTCCATTTGCCTGAATAATTGCAGCTCCAACAGTAATCAAGAAGCTCAGCACTATCCAAGACAAAAGCCAGCCTGTTTGATTGGCACCCCTTCTAACATATTTCAACATCATTTCCTCCCCCACTAACACACAGTGGCGACAGTGTGTACCATCTATGCAATGTACTGTGACAATTCACCAGGACTCCTTGGACAGCATCCATGAAAATTGTAAATAAAAACCGAAAGAACTGCCGATGTTGTAAATCAGGAACAAAAACAAAGTTGCTGGAAAAGCTCAGCAGGTCTGGCAGCATCTGTGAAGGAGAAAATAGAGTTAACGTTTTGGGTCCGGTGACCCTTCCTCAGAACTTCTGAGGAACTTCCTCAGCCCCTTCTGAGGAAGGGTCACTGGACCCGAATCGTTAACTCTGTTTTTTCCTTCACGGATGTTGCCAGACCTGCTGAGCTTTTCTGGCAACTTTATTTTTGTCCATGAAAATTGTGACCACTACCATCTAGGAGGATGGGGCAGCAGATACATGGGAGTACTATCACCAGCAAGTTCCCCTCAAAGCCACTCACGATCCTGACTTGGAAATATATTACCATTTCTTCATGGTCGCTTGGTCAAAATCTTCGAACTCCCCCTGCAACAGTATTGTGAGTGCACCAACAAAATGCATGCTTGCAGCAGTTCAGAAAGGCAGATCATTGTTTCTTTGTTGGGGTAACTACAGAGGTTTAATAAAAACTGCCCTAGACAGTGAGCCTCACATACAGTGAATGAATTTTTAAAAAGCCATAAGTGAACCTACTTTATACTGTGTCATTAACCAATATAAACTGATGCGAATCAATGACAATTATACTAATTAGTCAAGTCACTATTTTACAAAAAACAAATGTATGTTCTGAGTTTACTTGGTTCATTTCTGCATCTACCTACTCCAACCTGTGCATTCTCCTTCCATCACATCCTGGATTGGTTGGTTGGTTATCTTTGCAACTTCTGTATTGTTTCCAGTGGAGATGTTCTAGCAGTGCTGATAGAAATGCTCAACTCTATACTTCAGAGAATGAAATGCAAACGGAATGGTGTCACTAACTGCTCTTTCTACTTCAGAAACACTGAAGATGTTGCTCACTTCAATGGAGAATACCAAAATTCTGCAGTCACTCCAAAGGATGTTAAGTTTACATAGGACAACAGCAACGTCATGGTGCTAACAAAAGAAAAAACATTAGGGTACTCCCCAAATGACACTGGATAATTCTGCAGGATGACATCTAATCCCTTCCTGTTTCATTGCACTGAAACTTGTCTGATATCTATTTTCTTTCCTTGGCCCTTATTCAATGGACAGCATTTCTTTCCCCCCAGTTTGGCAAGGGATGCAACACCTGTGACAGTAACTCTTTCTCTGCACCACTGAGTACTCAACCTATAGTGAATGCTTGAGATGTTATTGACACTGCTGTTAGTGATGACTGTTGATCCATTTACTTGTGCTTTTGGGACCCAGAGCTAATGGATTTTCAGAGATATTTTCCCACAAATGATGCCGTTGGAATCTATAAATACTAGGGTGTCCATTAGAAAGAGAATTCAAGATACTTGCAGAACGTATTAAAAAAATAGTGAATGTCATTTATGTCCAGTATGCATATTATGCGACATACATTCATTATTCAGAAGTAAGTATATTCGGAAACTAATTTTCTTAATATTTTGTATTTTGCAGGCAGATTCAATGGTTCTCCCCTCACACTTCAAAAGTTCAAGTATTCTCCAACCAAGTGTTAGACAAGACATTGAATCATTTCTTTTTTCTTTATTCATTTACAGGATGAGGGCATCGCTGGCCAGGCAGCATTTATTGCCCATGCCTAATTGCCCAGAGGGCAGCTCAGAGTCAACAACATTGCTGTGGGTCTGGAATCACATGTAGGCCAGATCAGGTAAGGATGGCAGTTTCCTTCCCTAAAGGACATTAGTGAACCAGATGGGTTTTTCCTGACAATTGACAATGGATTCACGGTCATCATTAGATTGTTAATTCCAGATATTTATTGAATTCAAATTCCACCATCTGCCATGGCGGGATTCAAACCCTGGTCCCCAGATCATTATCTGGGTCTCTGGATTAACAGTCCAGCGATAATACCACTAGATCATCACCTCCCCCTCAAGTTTCAGTTGAAAATGATCTTTTCCTAACTATCTTGTCATCACTTTTTTTGCCATCACTTGCCCCTTGATATCTGCACGGGTAGGTTGGATTCAGAAATAGCATTCCTCATGGTTAGGAGAATTGTTAATTATCAGCGCACTGTTTTTTATCCTCAGTAAGATGGCAGCTTTTACTCTGCATCAAAGGTTTCTTTGTATTTGATGTTTGATTGCAGTTTGTGTTTTTGCTGATTGTGATGCATAGCATGCACTGGCTTGGAAAGTTAGTTGAAAAACATATTGCATCTATCTTTACCTTCTTTTAACTTATTCTAAAGTACGTTATCAAGCAGGAGTGCGCATGGCATTATTCTTTTACCCAAGTGGTAAATGGTAGCCACAAAAACAAATTGTAATGTGTAAGGACACATTGTAGCCGTTATCTAGCTAAAAAGAGTTTCAGCACCATGATAACATTTCAGAGAAACTTGTAGCCGTTATTCAACTTATGGTCAAAGTCCCCACTAAACTTTTCGGCAGCTGTTCCATTAAAGTTAATTTTAGAACACAGTGCCGAATAACAAGACTGTTAAACACAAGCATTCTCTTGGTATGATGGCATCTGTGGCAAAAGACGTCTGGACTGACAACCTTATTTGTATTATCAGCCTTTTAGTCCTAAAAATACAGTCAACAGAATAAACCCTGTACGGCTCAGGCATGACTCATCTCTCTTATATTTTTGGTCCTCATGCTACCCATTGTGTTTATCGTAACTACACATGTAAGCTTTATGGGATCCTTAGCAGCATCCAAGAATTTATATTAAAAGCAAAAGCTTGGATTGCTTTGGAATTAATATCAGCAGCAACAATTCCTCTTGTGACGATTTCCTTTTGTTTTGTGTAATCCATTTGATCTGTGTATGAGCCAGAAATATGTGAATTGTAACATTTAGGGAGCTGTGTGTTTAAATGGTTGCTAGGTGGTTACATTCAGGCCTGCCTAAAAGCAAGGGTGCGGCTTGTTGTGAGGTTTCCAATACTTCACTCAAAGTAGTTCAAGGGTCATTGACAGACTGTTCAAAGGTTACAAGCATTTGGAGATTAAAACAGTGCGTGAGAAAAGGCAGACAAAAGCAGGCTCCATATTAGGCAATACAGCTGTTTGACTGCTGAGAAGGCAAATGAGGCACATTGTTTCTCTGTTTTGGGGCTCAGGAAGAAGGCCCTAGAATAGTTAGATGATTCCATGGTATTACAACACAAAGAGGTCTATGAGCCACTTGAGGAAACAACAGCAAGATTAGAGTTCAGTTAATCACTCCAGGGTAGTACTGACTTGGTGAAGCTGGTTGTCAATGCGAACCTATATTTGTGCCCGACTGTGAGTAATGCTGGAATGCAATTTCCAGAATCCAGGGAGTGTATTCCCAGGAAAGGAAGGGGATTGATCAGAACATGGATCATCAAGACAGCCAAGGCAAAGTGGCTCTTGAGGGAGCTTCAAGGCCAAGTTGTCAAAAGTGAAGAATTGGAATTCCTTGAAGTTGTAATGAGATTGAATGACTTATCATATCATTCATGTAGAGGGATGGGCTGTGGAGAAAACTATGGGATTTGTTTTGATCACATTATCTATTTGTTCTGCTCTATGGGCTATATGCCACAGTTTGTTACCCATTGTTTGCCTCAAGTTAGTTCTCAATATTTTCCAAAATAAATTGTATATATCTTGTCGATTATATTACTGTTTTAACTTTGTGTAGTACATTTCTGTTAATTGGTTCAAAACTGTGAAATTCTGTGGGGTTTTTTTATGTTAATTAGTATTTGAGATCTCACACCTTGTCAACATACAAAAGAAACTGCTTCACGGCCAGATCATAACATAATTTTGGTGATTTGGTCTAGGATCATAACACCCTTAAGTAAATTAAAAGAAAAGTGGAGACAAACTGTCCAGCTGATTTGGGAATCAAGCAATGTCAATCAATCAAGATTGTCAGTAATCTTCATATTTGTTCACAAGATGCCAAGCAAGCATGGTCATATAAATTAACTAGGCAAACACCGACAATTATTTCTTGATTTCTGATTATAACAGCTCAACTGCCATGAAAAGGGAAAGCATCCTACTCATGCCCATCATTGACTTGAAGGGACAAATCAAAATGAGTCAAAGGATACGATTCAATTTAATCTAAAGTGGCCAAATTAGAGATGTCAGAGAGTCATAGAAATGTACAGCACAGAAATAGACCCTTCGGTCCAACTTGTCCATGCCGACCAGATATCCAAAATTAATCTAGGCCCATTTGCCAGCATTTGGCCCATATCCCTCCAAACCCTTCATAGTCATATCCCCATCCAGAGGTCTTTTGATGTTGTAATTGTACCAGCCTCCACCACTTCCTCTGGCTGTTCAGTCCATATACACACCACCATCTGCATGAAACTTCTGAAGGTATTATGATTTAAATTTGATCTGGACTTCACCATTTAATTCACAGAAGTGCTCTTTAAATTGTATCTGGAAACCAGAGATACCAGCAGGTCCATGTTGCAAATTGCTTAGAATGGCTCAAAGTTGCTTTGTAGTTAAAAGTGCTCACACTTTTTTTGGATGGACGTGAATGGAAATCCATCTGTCAGTTAACACTAATGTGTTTTACAACAAGCGGCCACCTAGCTGAAAACTTTGAAAAAGTAACACATATTAGGCCAAGTCAATAATGTAAATACAGACAAATCCTTTTCCTTTCAAAAATAGTAAGATGAATGTGCTGTACCTTAAAATGGACTGTTCAGCAACGTCCTGAAGAAGTACATCATTTTTCGAGACAGAAGGAAAACCCAACAGCAGAGCAGAACTGTCTGTATCTTTGAGGCAAGGAGGTACAGTAGGACTGGTAACATAGAAGCAAAAAAAAAATCTTTTAAAGTGATGCAATGTTGATAAAAATTTTTAAAAATCCATGTATGGATACTCCAATCACTTCAGTTGGCAAAATTCTAATAGATTGAAAGTGGAAAAGACTATTGTTGGCTATAACTAAACACTAATCTTTTGTTAGAAAAGCAACAGTTTGAATTAAGCCTATTATTGTGCTTAAATAATCTCAAAACGTGGTGCTTCAATTGATAACTGAGAACCAGGAAGGAAAACCAGTTTATAATGGCTCTAAGAATGTTAACTTCACAACAAAAAGTTCCAGCTTTAATGTTCAAGTTGTGATGTTTCAGTGTAAACAAAATGAACGAACACAACTTCAGCAGCTGTCAAATGACTTCCAACTCGAGGAATTAACAGGACGGTTACTTAGTAACTATAAAATGTAACACAGCGAAAGAAATCCAGACCTGGTCCGTCTCAGCCAGCTGCAGGTAGAGGTCGATCTACTGGTGAGCCAATTTTGAAAATCTTTTCAATTCCGTCGACGGAGTTTACCATATTTTAAAATCCACTTTATTAAAAGTAATTAAAATTGGATCTACAAACTAACTGCACTCATTTTTGCTGAAATATTATCAAGGCATGATTCTATTCAATAGCACAGAGCTTGAATGGAATGATTTTGTTTGCATTCATTTTTGAAGGCATTTTGCATCAACCTGCTAACACTTTGGATATTTAGAACTGTGCTGCATTAAAATATAGTGAGAGGTTTTTCCTGAGTTTTTGAAAACAGCGCAGTTGCAAGCAAAGAAGAAACATAACAAAGTGCATTAGTCAGATGTCACCCAGTGAGTTAACAATAACTTTACTGAGCTGTAGTAAATTATAATTTTTTTAAACCATTTTGTGGTGAAGTGGTATTATATGCCACGCAGAGGTAAACCACTGCACATTACTGCTATTATGGTTGGCATCACTGTTGGGTCTGTCATCTGAGAGAGAATGCTTGAAACTAACATGTTATCAATGCAACAGAAACATGATCTCACTTTTGTGCAGAGATTAGCCGACTGGGGCCCTCCAGCACTGACCTTGATAGAGTGTCCACAATGAGAGAAAGGTTTCCAATATAAACTTTCCTGTGTCACTTTCAATGTATCCGGGGAACCCACCCCTCCCCACTGTAACTGGTTTGAAAGCAGCCGTTCAGAGCAGCACTCCTGATAACCTCAGCAGCTCTAACATCGAGGAAAAGTTTGAACGGCCCAGAAGTCTGATGGAAGAATCGTCAGATAAATTGGGGCGGGGGGTTGCCTAAGCCAAAAGTCTGGACTATCTATCTTCCTGCTGGGACTGATGTACCAGCTTCCAATCAACGTACCAACTCTCCATTGGATCCCAGGTTGTTTATATGAGGAAACCCCTAGTTTCCTTCTGTTAAGCCATGCATCCCTGATCCAAGGAACGATATTTGGAGTAGATGCAAGTGCTTCCCCAAAATCGTCCAATGGATATTAATAACACCAGCCTGGGCACACTATCGCGATCCGAGCCTAGTTCACCAGTCTTCTGCCATGTTCCTGTTTAATATACCTTAACAATACACTGGATGCTCCAAAGATATTTATATTAACACTTAGAACACAGAAAGGTCAGGGGAAAGTCTCTCTTCTGAAATTGGTTCAAATATTCAAACTTAAACTTACTGTTGTGAGTATTGCTGTAAGCTTACCTTCATAGAAATAAAATCAACATCCAAAACATAATACTTAATTAAAAAGTAATGTAACAATATTTCTACTTATTCTTTCAGCTATACTCTTCCATTCTCTTAAACATTACTTGCTTTCTTCCTGACCTATCATACGTTACTTACTTGATTCCTGTTTCCTTCATGCTCCCAGGTGATCCACACAAATATGGAACAATTCAAATAAAAAACAAAATAGGCTTTTAATGCCTGTAAACTGGCCTCAAAGAATATTTGGTCAGCAATTGGAAACATACATTGTTGCTTTGGCATGCCACAGATATACGTAAAAATGTGTGCACAGGAAGAAGCTGCTGATAAACAACAGCCCAAGAAGACCACACCCAGAAAAATAAATGTGTCTCAAGAATAACAGCAGCCAACAACGCAAAATGAACTGGCGTATTATGTGGTGGAATTAATTATATATAATATTATGTGGGGTTGAGGAAGTTAAAGGCTGTTCAGGTGCAAAGAAAGCACCACAGACTAAAGAAAATCCTGTGGAGCGCACATGTGACCCCAGAGACTTTAGCCTGGATTTTATTCCAAGGTGAAACTGTCTCCAGATGTAGGGCAAGGCAGGTCTTCCAGCCACAAGCTTGAACCCACAATGGTGTCAGCCCATTTTGCTGGACTACAGTCAAGGAGGGCTGGCTATCAGCTGCAGTTCAGAAACTCAACATTCAGGAAAAGACTTTTGTGCTGCAGCATAGCATCCATTTCAGAGTGGCAGAACGATAGTTCAGCAGGAGAACAGGGAAAGAAGGCAAAGTTTTCCAAGGCTCACCATTTTTGTAATTACTTAAACTTCATCGGATAATGAGCCACCAGGTAATCAGTCAGCATTCCTTCTAAGGTGGAATTTTGCTCAGCCATTTGGGATCAAGGATTCACCAGATCTCCCGATAAAACTTAAAAACTTCAATTTTGAGATTGCCCAATTTGATTGCGTTTGACAAAAGAAAATCTGCCACAACTTTTCCACTGGACTAGTCACTGTAGTGTGTCTTTTAAGCATACTTTATCCTAAGTTTGGTTTCTGCTTTGGACCTGCATGCAGGCGTGTTGCTTCCATTTGTGACAGATCCCAGTTTCTCCTGCAAAGAGAACGTGGTGGGAAATCTGGATTCAGCATGGCCATTTAAAATTAGTCTTGAGTTCAAACAGACCCTATTTTAACTGTCCCAGGGACAGTTGACACCTGGAGTGTGGATGTCATGCTGAAGGAAGAGGTGTAAAAATTCTTGAAGGGCAGATAAGACGTGAAATGTGTCATGACCAGAGATAATTTAAATTCCAACCATTTCAATATGTAAAACTAAGCTGCAGCTGTCAGTAAGAGTAAAAATAAATAATAAAAAAAAAAAATCACACTCTGCAGGAGTGCACAGATTGCTGGGTCATCGGATAATGCTTAGAAAAAAAAAGTTGCCATGTATTCCTGGAGGTTCAATAGACTTTACTGTTGAAATTTCCCAAGGGTTACTTCAAAACCACATATCAATATATGATATCTGATTTTCCAATTTAATTGACAGTTTTAAGACACCATTAAAGGATAACTGCCTTGGATATGGTTGTTGAATAGACTTTGATCTTTATAAAAGACTGAGCACTGGTGTGGCTGTAAAATCTTTGAGTGGCTTTAATTAATGAGAGTTTTTATCTACATAAAATGAATGAACTATTTTCAATTACTGAAATTCCAGTTGTTCTCATTTCCACACGGCTCCTGAGGTCTGCCCATTGTTGATACTAGGTAATTGACTATGGAGGTATTAAGGAGTATTAGGTAGCATGAAGATATGAGGGGGAATGAGAGGTAGGTAGGTTAGATTTGAACGAGTAAGGCTCTTTTATAGAACTAGGCCAAAGTCTCAGAGAACCAAAACAGAAATTGCTGGAGAAATCAGCAGGTCTGGCAGATTCTGCGGAGAGGAAGCAGAGTTAAGGTTTCAGGTCCAGTGATCCTGCTTCTTGTTTCAGATTTCCAGCATCTGCAGTTCTTTGTTTTATTTTTCCCCCTCAGAGAACCAATGTGGGCTTTCTAATCAGCCCACTTCCACATTTTCCCAACTCTATGGCCACCTCCAATCTGTTTCTGGAGGCAATAATCCAACTCAATCACAGTGCCTCTGCAGCAAACATCATCCAATAAGGTGGTCATTTCCATGGAAAAGAGTCTGTCAAGACAAGGATTTCCCAACCTGAACTTCCCAGCTTTATGAAAAGCAACCGAGCCTACATCATTTTCGTGTCAGCAGTAAACATATCAGTCATTTTATCATGCATCATGCTTTGTTTGAGAGTTATCTATCAAATGCTGCAAGTTGAGATGGTTTTGTCAGCAGACAGGAGTTGTACAAATGTGACTGGGGTAAATATTTCTCCATGATCTTCTTGCAGCATGCACCAACAAGGACTCAGTATTGTTACTCTAGAATGAACCTACCACACTTTACTGTACAATAGATTTCAGGGTTTTGTCCTCCTGGTTCAGGAAACCGAACGTAAAATAATTATTCATAAAATGAATGGTGAGGAGTTTGAAAACTGACTGGAGTAAAGAAATGTGACACTCTCTCACCAGGAAGTCCAATCTTATGGGGTTGAGCCCTGACTCTAAGTTCAGCCTCCATTTGTGTTTTAATTATTGCATCATCATGAAGCAAAAACACTTTATAACACCACCATTGAGCCATAAATACACTAAAAGTCTTTCAAACTGACAGGAAGAACAGTTAATTGACCAAGAGTTAATAACAAATGATTAAAAAAATAGAAATAATGTCAGATGAGAGTTATAGCTGGTTGTCATCATACTTTAGCCCATAAACACCAGATAGGATTCTAATGACTATCAAACACTCTTAACAGTGTATGATGGAAATAGCTCATTACAGAGTCAGAGTCATAGAGCTGTACAGCATTGAAACAGAACCTTTGGTCCAACTCGTCCATACTGACCAGATATCCTAAATTAATCTAGCCCCATTTGCCAGCATTTGGCCCATATCCCTCTAAACCCTGAGATAACAAGGTGCAGAGCTGGATGAACACAGCAGGTCAAGCAGCATCATAGGAGCAGGAAGCCTGACGTTTCGGGCCTAGACCTGTCTCTAAACCCTTCCCATTTATATAGCCATCCAGATGCCTTGTAAAAGTTGTAATTGTACCAGCCTCCACCACTTCTTCTGGCAGCTCATTCCATACACGCACCACCCTCTGCATGAAGAAGTTGCCCCTTAGGTCCCTTTTAAATCTTTCCCTTCTCAACTTAAACCTATGCCCTCTAGTTTTGAACTGTTCCACCCCAGGGAAAAGACCATGGCTATTCACCCTACCCATGCCGCTCATAAGTTTATAAAGCTCTACAAGGTCACTCCTCAGCTTCCGACACTCCAGGGAAAACAGCCTCAGCCTCTTCAGCCTTCCCCTATAGCTCAAACCCTCCAATCTTGATAACATCCTTGTAAATTTTTTCTGAACCCTTTTCAACTTTCACAACATCCTTCCTATAGCAGGGAGACCAGAATTGCATGCAGTATTCCAAAAGTGGCCTAACCAATGTCCTGTACAGCCACAACATGACCTCCCAACTTCTATACTCAATGCACTGGCCAATAAAGGCAAGTGTACTAAATGCTTTCTTCATTATCCTGTTTAACTGCAACTATGAACCTGCATCCCTAGATCTCTTTATTCAGGAACACTCCCCAATACCTTGTGTATACATCCTGCTCTGATTTGCCTTTCCAAAATGCAGCACCTCATTTTTATCCTCATCCCATTGGCCCATCTGATCAAGGTTTCATCGTACTCTGAGGTAACCTTCTTTGCTGTCCACTCCACCTCTAATTTTGGTGTCATCTGCAAACTTACTATCCATACCTCCTATGTTCACAAACAAATCATTTATATAAGTGATGAAAAGCAGTGGCACACCATGGGTCACAGGCCTCCAGTCCGAAAAGCAACCCTCCACCACCACCTTCTGTTTTCTACCTTCAAGCTAGTTCTCCCTGCATTCCGTGTTATCTAACCTTGCCAGCCAGTCTACCATGAGAAACCTTGTCAAACAGCTTACTAAAGTCCATATAGATCACGTCCAGCGCTCTGCCTTCATCAATCCTCTTCACCACTTCTTCAAAAAACTCAATCAAGTTAGTGAGACACGATTTCCTATGCACAAAGCCATGTTGACTATCCCTAGTCAGTCCTTGCCTTTCCAAATACATATAATTCCTGTCCCTCAGGATTCCCTCCACCAACTTGCCCCCCACTGAGGTCAGGCTTACCTGTCTATAGCCCCCTGGCTTTTCTTTATCAACTTTCTTAAATACTGGCACCATGTTAGCCAACCTCCAGTCTTCCAGCACCTCACCTATTGTTCTTGAAGATACAAATATCTCAGCGTGGGGCCCAGAAATCACTTCCCTAGATTTCCATAGAGTTCTAGGGTACACCTGATCAGGTCTTGGGGATTTATCCACCTTTAATGCGTTTTAAGGCGTTCAGCACCTCCTCCTCTGCAATATGGACATTTTTCAAGATGTCACTGTTTATTTCCCCATGTTCTCGATCTTCCATATCCTTCTCCACAGTAAACACTGATGCAAAACACTCGTTTAGTACGCCCCTCATCTCCACACATAGGCTACTATGCTGATCTTTAAGGGGCCCTATTCTCTCCCTTGTTACTCTTTTGTCCTTAAATTTATTTGTCATAGAGACATACAGCATGGAAGCAGACCCTTCAGTCCAACTTATCCACGTCAACCAGATACCCTAAATTAATCAGTCTCATTTGCTAGCATTTGGCCCATACCCCTCTAAACCCTTTCTATTCATGTGCCCATCTGGATGCCTTTTAAATATTGTATTTGTACCAGCCTCCCTGGTAGCTCATTCCACATGTGCACCACCCTCTGCGTGAAAAAGGTGCCCCTTAAGTCCCTTTTAAAAATCGTTCCTCTCTCACTTTAAACCTATGCTCTCTAGTTTTGGAATCTCCCACCATAGGAAAAAGACCTTGGTTATTCACCCTATCCATGCCTCTCATGATTTTATAAACCTCTAAGGTTATCCCTCAACTTCTGACACTTCAAGGAAAATAGGCCCAGGCTAATCAGTCTCTCCCTATAGCTCAAGCCCAGCAACCCTGGCAACGTCCTTGTAAATCTTTTCTGAACCGTTTCAAGTTTCACAACATCTTTCCTATAGGACAAAGACCAGAACTGAACGCAGTATTCTAAAATTGGTCTAATAGTTGTCCTGTACAGCCGCAACATGACATCCCAACTCCTATACTCAGCACACTGACCAATAAAGGCAAGCGTACCAAATGCCTTCTTCTCTACCCTATCTAGCTGTGACTCCACTTTCCAGGAACTATGAACCTGTACCCCAAGGTCTCTTTGTCTGGCAGCACTGCCCAGGACTTTACCATTAAGTGTATATGTCCTGCCCTGATTTTCCTTTCCAAAATGCAGCACCTACTTTAAACTCCATCAGCTACTCTTGGCCCATTTGCCCATCCCATCAAGCACCCCTTGTACTTGGAGGTAATCTTTTTCGCTGCTCACTGCACCACCAGTTTTGGTGTCATCCACAAACTTACTGACCATACCGCGTATATTCACATCCAAATCATTTATATAAATGACAAAAAGCAGTAGATTCAACACCAGTCCTTGCGACACCCCTTTGGCCACAGGCTTCCAGTCCAAAAAGCAAACTTCCACCACCACCTATGTCTCCTACGTTCAATTAGGTCCAATGTGCAAGAGTCCTTTGACCTATATTAAGACTCCTTGGCTACGTATTGCAGCAGCAAAGAGAAAAGTGCAAAAGTATAAACAAGATTTGAAATATTCATTGTGTGGCTTTAATTATTTAAGTGAATGTATGTTGCTGTTATTCTATTCAATTATTATGTAAGAATAACACGTAACACTAAAAGCACAAATATATTTTTCTTGTGCTTGTTGCAAAGCTATTCATCAGCCATCTGAAATAGTTCAGACAACATGTACCAGTCTCATTGCAGATATGAGAGCACAGCTGGAACTCAAAAGATTTAAAGTATTTTAGAACAGTTGTTACATTAGATTAGGCTGTGCAATTAAAATTTCTTCCATTAGACCTTAAGCAGATAATCTTTTCTTGCCATTGTAACTTTATTTTTTTTTCCTGTTTGACTTAACAGTATATATCCAGTCCATGTACAAAACAAAACTTAAATACTTAAAGACAAAAAAAATCATTTTTTCCTAAAACATTTAAAATTTTCCTGCATCAGGGAGTGAATAACTTGAAAAATAAATTGAAAGGAGGTTTCCATTTGCACATTTAGAATTAAATTCCTGTGCCCCTAAACAAAAGCATTCCATCTATATTAAATGTTTCAACGTGATATGTGAATTGCAACACAAGTAGACAACGTGGCATTGCCAAGGGCCCCAAAATTTTTGGTATTCTTCCAAATTTGCCATGCAACGTCCTAGATGTTCATTGCAGCCAGCCCCCCCACCATTCCATTTAAGTCATAGATGATTGAGGCCCTTATGTGGGTCAGTGGGTGGAGCAGTCTACAGTAAATTCACAAAGTGTCAGCTTTAGCTTAGTTGGTAGCTCCCTTGCCTCGAAGTCATAAATGTATGAGTTCAAGCTCCAATCTAGGACGGTGAATACAATGGCCTTGGTGGTTCTACCTTTTGACCAAAACATTGAACTGAGGTCTCACCTGCCTTCTCAGATGGACATATGAAATCCCATGGAGTTATTTTGAAGAAATTGAGCAGAGTTATCGCCTCAGTCCAGAGCAGTATTTATCGTTAATCAACATCACAAAAACAGATTATCATTGTTATTATGAAATCTTGCTGTGAGTAAATTGACAGCCATATTTTCTATATTACAACAATCATTACTGTGTTCAATTGTTTGGTCTTTGATAGTGTACGCCTATTGACTGTTCCATGTTTTGTGTGTTGTTAGTCAATCCTGCGGGTGTGGTTACAAAGGAACAGAACCTGAAAGTCAGCATGTAGCAGCAGGTGTTTTAAAAGAAATTATAACAATGTCCGCTTCTCACATAGAACCTGGTGAGGGTCATCTCTGCATGATTTCAAGCTACAAAACACAATAGTGACTACATTTCAAAAGTATTTCATCGGCTGTAAAGTTTCCCTGGTATGTCCTGAGATCATGAAAGGTGTTTTATAAATAAAGGTTGTTTTTGTCATTGAATCACTTGATATATTCAATTGATTACACAGTTAGCAATATAGCACTCTTGTAACGTAGATAAGACTCTGATTATGAGTTCAGTACCTGTTAGTAATTTGTTCAGAGGACTCTTGTTTCTGCTGAGGCTGTACAATCTGAGGAGTAACTGCAAACAGTGGATGTGGGAAATCTTCTTGCTTTTCACTAAGTGATGATATGCTGGCATAGAAAGAAAAACAGCTATAAAATTTTAAGATATATAACTATGTGATTAGTATTCTACACTCACTGCTAAATTAGCCATTGCGAAAATATTCCCTCTTAACCTGTGTGGCAATGGCTTACTATAACTGGCCTGAGTGCTCTTTTGTCAAGGTGAAGAAAAGTTGGCCATATTATCAGTTCATCATCATTGGTTGTAATTCTCTTCCCTCCCTCTCCTTCCCTGTCAATGAAATATCAGATAATAGGTTTTGCCAAATTGCTCAAATACATGAATGCACACTTCCTCGCAATCGGAAATATGGCTTTCAGTAACTCGAAGATACCAAGAACTGCAGATGCTGGAGTCAGAGTCAACACAGTGTGGAACTGGAGGAACACAACGTCCCGACCCGAAACGTCAACTTTCCTACTCCTCTGATGCTGCATGACCTGCTGTGTTACTCCAGCGCCACACTGTGTGGACTCTGGCTTTCGGTAACATTAGGTTGGATTTGTGAATTGGTGATCAGCTGTCTGAGCTCCCACTTAGATACCAGGAAGAGAGCAAAAGGGGTCTGAAAAATAACTAGAATGCTTACTACTATGATATAGACGAGTAGTGTTCTCGTGAATCCTATGTAGCATTGTTTGAGAACAGTAAAATGTACAGATGTTAGAGTACATAAAATAGCATCACTCCGACAGGTAAATTATTTTGTTTAATGTCAGAGTAGATGTATCACAGCAGAAATTACAATATTTCTATCAGATGACTCTTTTAGCATTACAGTTTTAATGTTCAGTCAGCAATGCATTAATCAAGACCATTGATATCATACGAACAAATAAAAATTATTGAATGTCCATTTATTGGGATCTACTCTTAAAAGGTGCAGTCTAATTTGGACTCATTTCCATCAATCCAACGTTGTATGAGCAGAAATTTGTCATACGGTCAACAATGATCAGGTCCCTGTTTGAAAATAATTTATTTACAGGGAGCTGAATAATAGGCGATACAAAAAAAAGTAGCTCACCCTGTAGATAAAAAAACCATCTTCTGTAGATGTATGAAACGGAAGAATTTGTATGTACAATCAAAAAGAATTAATACTTAAATAACTAACTACTTCTGGAGAGGAAAGTTTAATTGGCCTGGAAGTAAACAGAAGGTATCAATTTCAACTCCTTTCAGCAGGGCAGCCATGGCCTGAAAATGTCACCAAATTGCCTATTTGTTGTTTACACCATCATCAGGCCATAAAAGGTGGGTGCAGATGTTGGCCAGTCAGCTCACCAAATCTGATCCACCACTCAGTGAGATCATGGCAAATCTGATAATCGTCAACTCTACTTTCCTGCCTTTACCCCATAATCCTGGATTCCCTTGCTGATTAAAAATCTGTCTGTCACAGCCTTCCATCTGCTTAATGGCTCAGCTTCAACAGTTCTGTGTGGAAAAGAATTCCAGTGGCTCACTACCCTCAGAAGAAATTTCTCCTCATCTCCACCTTAAATGTGCAACCCTTATTCTGAGATTATGCCCTCTGGTCCTAGCCGACCCTACAAGGAGAATCAACCTTTCCACATCAACCCTGTCCTCTCAATCTCCCATATTCCAACAAGTACAGGCCTAAAGAAAGGGGAGTTGGAGACAGAAGTTGTTTCTACATTCAGAGAGATTAGCACAAAATACAAAATGGCCATCAAAATGGCCACCTGTGGATGTGTAAATGGGCCCAGTGACGTCAATTATGCTAGAATTAATCTGTGCATGCACGGGTGATGTCACAATGCTCCATCACACCAGCTACACATGCACAGACAGCCCGCCTGAGACCAGATTTCAGGGACGAAAGACAGGAATGGAGACAAACGCCAGGGAAGGTGGCATAGGTCATGATGTAGCAGGGACCAGGCTGCTAGTTACGGTGAGCAATGGAAAGATAGCAACTCTGGGAGGAATTTGTACTGGCAGGTGCAGTTTTCTGACATCACAGAGGACTATCACCCTACTTCATGAAATGCCAAAGGGCTGGTTCAATAGACTATCCATCTGGTTTGAAGGCAGCTTTGCACTGCCTGGTTAAGTTTCTGCACCAATGCACTCCTTATACCATCTCTGTGAAACACAACTTTGTAATCATCAAATTACGGACATATCACGGAAAGGTGAATGCTGACACGTGTTAATTTTAAAGGGCCAAAAGTTGGTTCTTGGAATCCATGCATAAAATGATCTCTAAGTATGATATTTTCACAAGCGGAATAACATTTACATTAATCACAGTTTTATTTGAAACAGGATAAGACACATTCCATTATGGTGAAATTCACTGCTTAAAGAAGAGCCTGAAACTTATATCAATCCCCATTGCCACATCATTACTAAAGCATTTATTAATGAGTTTCTTAAGTACAGTACAAAAACAGAAACATACTTTGAGAGCAATTTGTAAGTGTTTCTCGGCACTTCGGAATGTATGAACTAAATTGAGCATACAAGTAAATGGAAAACATGAAATAAAGCCAATCACGATTTTCATTTCTCTGAACATATTTCAATCTTTAGAATTCTATTAAAACTACTGAAGGCTCAGTCGTAAAGCTTAACTGAGTTTTTGTGCCCGTGGACAACGTGGAAAACACTCATCCATTTACTTAAGAAGAAAAGCTAACATAATGAAGCGCAAATGGAATCTTTGATTCATCCACAAACTATTCACCAGCACAAATGTCATAAACATTTCAACCACTATCCTTATTAATTGCATAGACACATTTAGAGTGAAAATTTGCTTCCCTCTTTCTGGAACTTTTAGTTTTTTTGAAATATCTAACATTCGACCTGAAAGCTAGTAATTAATTCCTACAACCAGAATCCTCAAGCATATTTGTTAACACAATACATTGCATGAAATAAAACCAAGTGAACTTCAGATGCTATAAATCAGGAACAAAAACAGAAATTGCTGGAAAAGCTCAGCAGATCTGGCAGCATCTGTGGAGAGAAATCAGAGTTAACATTTCAGTTCCCATGACGCTTCCTCATGAAGCTGATTGTCAAAGGAAGAGTCTATTGCTTCTATTGAAACACAATGGCCTGGACTTTTTGGCATGTGAAATAGCAAAGAAAATTTCTGAGAAAGGGTACAAGTAATAAGCTTAAGGTGCCCAAGAGGGATTTCAGTTGTTTGTGTCAATAAATTATTCTGGCCTAATGAGATAGCACAGAACTGCTCTACTTCTTAAATTTTTCTCAGCAAAGTCAAGGCTGGCAACAAATGTGTTTTGTTATGTTGGCAGCAGAACAAATGCATTGCAAACACACTTGGTTGGTCAATGTTTCTGGTGGTCACTGCTTCCCATCAGTTTGATTATGGGAGTTTATAACGTTGCCAGTTGCTAATTCCTAAGGCAATATACTCAGTTTGATCCACTGTGTCTTGCCAAGATACCAAAGTAAGACTTCATAAAGAGCTGCACAGGATGCTTGATGCTAAAATTAAGGGAAATAGCAACAAAATTCAACTTCAGCAGTTCTTTTTATGTTACTTTTCTATAAACAGAGTGTTGATTTTCCTTGATTTTATTACTCCAGTGAAGGGTAATTAAAATAAGTTGTTTTATGGAATTCAAACCAATGTTGTGATTTTTCAGGAATTCCACATTGGGTTATTTTCAACCTAACGTTTTTGAGATTTCAGCAGAATTGCCCTCTTTTACCGTGGGAGAGCAATATTATTACTCTGCGATTTTCAATACCCTTACTGTCCTTGACTAAACAAATTTAAGAAATTTTCTTAAAAGAAACAATAACATACAAAGAATTATTTTAAATAATTATCCTTTCTGATTGATTATTTTGACCACTGCAAATATGTAATGACATCATATTAAGTTAGTCTTGTGCTTGTTCATCTTTTCTTTAATGAATTTTAAGCCATAGTGGATGATCAATAACAGATTTCTCATCTTCAGGTTTAAATGTTCTCAATCTTCTATATTGCTACCTTAATAGAGTCTGTTCAAGGCGAGTCTGGAAATCTTCAGCATCATCCAATGGCTTAGTGCACTCTACGTTTTGTGGAGGATGAGAAGCAAGAGGTGCAATTGGCTGAGGTGAAATTGACTCTTCTTTTTCGTAAATCAAGGAAACACTGGTAAACACAGATTCAGAGATGCATCACGGCAAATATTCACAAGGCCTAACTATGGAAATATATTGAAACGACAGATACACCATTGAAACCACAGCGTTACTGCACAACACAATTCTAATGTCATGTGAAATTGCATGCATTTTCAGCAGTAACTAGAAGCAGTAATCTTCAGTGATCAATCCCTTCCCAACCCCAGTAATAATGAAACCAATCTCCTGCTGTCCAGGCTGACATTGGTTAAATGCCAAACTAAAATCTGTGTATAGATATTAAGTATTCATTCTGCTCATGCTGTTTGTAATAGTTAGCTGATTTGAACATCATAAGGATCTCAATTGTGGGACACAATTAAACTCCAGGAGAGGTTAGGAATCGTATATTCTAAATTAACTCAACACTTGAACTTCCTGTATGTTGATACCTTATTGGAGTCTGTGGAAGATGTTTCTGGAAAACTTCAGCATCAGCCAGTGGCTTAAGATGCTCAGAGTGCTGTGAAGGATCTGGAGCAATAGATGCGAGAAACGCAGGCAAAACCAACTCTTCTTTTTCAGAAGCCAAGGAAACCCTGGGAAACAAAGATACAGAGATGTATCAGGATAAGCATTCCTGTGGCCTCACTCTTGATAGAAATGTACTATATGATCAAGACTTTAGCTCATTGGAATTGATCACTCTAACAATCCTTTACAAATTAATTCCTAAAATGAACTAACTCATTACTTATAAAAAAAGATACAAAAAGCTGGAAATGTGCAGTAGCATAAAAAGCTTCAGTTTCCACTGGATGGATCGAATTCAAAACATTAATATTATTCCCATTAAAATTCTTTTTTCATCTGTCTATACATTCTGTAATCAGTTTCAATATTTTAGCATTTCCAATGCACACCTTGGAATCCATTCAGTATTTTGTACACCTTACAGTCTGAGAAAAAACGTAACAGAATTGGTCAAACTGCAAAGAAAACAATATTTCCAGCTAACCAGCATAGGGATTCAAGTTATTTTTAAACATTTGAGACCTTCATTATTTAGCTTTTAGGTTTTATAATTTTTATTTTGGAGCTATGAACTGTGAGTGCAGAGCTGAAGGTGACATCTGGGCAGTGAGCAGCAGCTGGTTTAAAAATCAGAACAAACAAAATGATATTTGTTCATGCGGTCAGGCCTAGAAGGTTGATAGCACATTGATTCTTGTTCAAAGAACATTGTGGCTATTTCGGTTCTGGAGATGCATTATGTTCAAACAGATGACAGATGTTTGGATATTAGCTGAGGCCTCATGGGGAGACTGGTGTCAAATAGCCTAACTGAGAGAATGTGGAAAACAAAAAAAAAGAAAGAGAAACCAAAGATGCACCATGTTTTTAAATGTTTTTAAGAAATAATTAGTTTTGTTCTAGGAGTTGTGACCTTTTTATTACTTTGTCTGCTAGAAATATGTAACTATCATATGTTGCTGTCATGCAGCTTTTCTTTAATAAATGTGCTTAACATTTTTTTTTACCTAAAACAGGACTTGGGGAGATGTTTCGCACATGAATAAGTGTACGAACAAGGTTCACTTACTGCTTTCCTGTGCATGTTAGTGAAAGCTTAAAGCTTAAGACAAGGACAAATATATTCAACAGTATGGAGAACTGGGACTTGCCCATGAGTGATTTAAGAAAGAAGAATTGAATAGAAAAAAGATAAATGGTGGAAAGATAAAGAAAGTGCACACTCTCATCTGCACAGTGATCATAGTATTAACTTTAAAAACATCTTCACCATCTAATTCTTTGACAGCGCTTTCATGAACAACTCCTAATTATTTCTATCTTCCTGCTCCAAAATCACTGCATCAAAGCAAAGCCCAATTCCATTCACAGCCCCTCAAACAACAGAAATTAAGAACTATACTTCTAAAAGTCAGTGAACAACTCTTTTCTCAGATCCAAGTTTAAACTTTCTAAAGCCTGTGTGTAAATACCTTAATTGACACTGCTCAAGTTGATTCTGGAGAATTGTAGCATCATCTGGTGGCTTAGCGAGCTTGGCGAGCTTTGAAGGATGAGGAGCAACAGATGCAGGAAGAGGATATGGAACTGGTTCTTTCCTTTCAGAAGCCAAGGAAGTACTGGGAAACACAGATACAGAGATGTGTCAGGATAAACATTTTTGTAGCTTCGCTTCAAAAACAAACTTACTGTGTCAAAACCTTAGCTCACAAGAAATGGTCAGTTTAGTTAACATCTACTATGACTGAAACCAGCTCTTATAAATAATAGAAATGCACAATAAACCGATCAGCATCTGAAAGACAAATACAAGTAAAATCTCAGCTAGAATACTGTGCACTATTCCGAGTACCACAATTTCAGAAGGATGTGAACAGTTTGGAGAGAATGCAGAAGAGGCTTGAGAATGGTTCCAGGAATGAGAAATGTCAGTTAAAAAGATAGATTGGAGAATTTGCGAATGTTTCCTTGTAGAGGAGATGGCTAACAAGAGATTTGATAGCTGTTTTCAAAAGCCTGAAGTGCTGGACAGAGTAGATAAACTGTAGGAGCAAATGATTGCAAATGCTAGATTCTGTACTGAAAACAAAAAATGCTGGAGATAACAGCAGGTCAGACAGCATCCATGGAGAGACAACAAACTGATGTTTTGAATCTAGATGACACTTCATCAGAGCTGAACTGTACCTTCTCATTAAATAATTGAGAATGAGACAGCACAAAGCAATTTGCAAAAGAAGCAAACATGATGTAATGAAATTCCTTTTCTCAGAGCGAATTGCTACAGTCTTGAACACACTGTCTGGAAGAGTGATGCAGGCTATTTCTTATGAGGCATTCAAGAAGGTATTAGATAATTATTTGAAGAGGGGCAACATTTAGAGCTTTAGGGAAAACAGGAGAATGGCACAAAGTCTTAATACTCATTTAGAAAGCCAGTGCAGACATGATGGGCCATACAGCTTCCTTTTCCATTCTAATTGTTTTGTGATCAAGAGTTTTACCGGATGCTTCTATCCAATATATTCACCTTACTCTTATTCAAATTCTGCTTGGTCAGTTGACAACTTCTAACATTTTCTATTTTTGTCATAACAGACACTTTGGCCCAACTAACACTGGCAGACCATGTTCCCAGACTAAACGAGTCCCACTTGCCTGCACTTGGCCCATATCCATCCAAACCTTTCCTATCCATGTACTTATCAAAACGTCTTTTAAATGTTGTAACTGTACCTGCCCCTACCACTTCCTCTGGCAGTTTGTTCCAGACGAACCACTCTGTGTAAAAAAAAAATTTGCCCCCAAGTCCTTTTTAAATCTCTCTCCTCTCACCTTAAAAATATGCCCCTTAGTTTTGAACTCCCCCACCCTAGGGAAAAGAACCTTGTCATTCACCCTATCTATGCCCCTCATGGTTTTATAAACCTAAATACGGGAATCCCTCAAACTCCTGTGCTCCATTGAAAAAAGTCCCAGCCTTTCTACATGTTCTGCAGATTTTTTCATCTCTCTACTTATCCTGCCAGTTTTGACCACAGTAAATTTTATCATTATTGTTATGTATCTTGGAAACCATCTGCCATTTTGTACATGTTCCAAACTGAGGAAGCATTTTATGTCAAGTGCTGAAATTGCAAGGTTAAACAGACCTGGGTATTTGGTTTCTTTCATGTCCCTCGATATGCTGGGGACTGCATGAGCTACAAAATGACGTAAGAAATACAGGAGACACAGATATCTCACCATTTCCTAATATCATACTTGGCTTAGTGGTAGCATTCTTCTCACTGAGTCAGATGGGATGTTGGTTCAAGTTTCTTTCATGACACCTGAATATAAATACTTGTCTGACACTTCAGTTTATAAGGCAGAATGATTGCCTGACCTTGCAGAACTGAGGAGCTACAGCAGGATAACAGCTTGACACCAACATTACAACAGGGATTAAAAAAGCAAAAGCACTTCATTGGCTTTGAGATCTCTTGTGGTCATGAAAGGCATTCTATAAATGAAAGTTTTTTTTACAGTATAATCAATTACCTCTAATGGAGAGATTCTCTATAGACAATAGTTAATAGTTCTTCATTTTACAATTTGTTGGTGGGATGTTATTGGGGCCTAAATCTTACCTTTGGACAATGAGTGGGCAGAGCCATACCCAGGAGCTATTTTCAAATTGCACCAGCTCCCACCAACCCCCACCCCAGCCTTTGGAAGAGCTGTTGAGTTTGACTATACCATACAGAGCAGGGGAATTCTCCAAGAGTTCCTTGGAAACAACACCATTGAATCAGATTACATGGTCACTTTAGCCATGGTTGTTTGTAAATTTGCTTGTGTAAATTGGCTGCTGAGTTTCCCTGCATTACTACAGGAAGTACAATACACAGACTGTAACATGCTCAGGAATCAATGAGGATGTAAATCATGTTCTTTTTCCTTTCCCTTCATCTCTTTACTTTGAGCTTTGATGTTGCACCTTCTAATCTAGGCTAGCATTCTCAGAGGTTAGAAACAATGCTTTTTGAAATATTAATTCCTTGAAGGGTAGAAATAATATCTGCATGTTGAAACATTAGACTGGGATTCCCTTTATTTGATCAGGTGTCATGGAGAAAAGCTGAAGTCTCCGAGAGATTGTTCAGATAAATCCTAGACAGCATTTCTCAAGCAAACAACACTGTCCAAAGCACCCTAACTGAGCATTCTGTGTTCAAAAAGGGTGCTGCATTTATTTACAAAATAGCCACAGCACATTTGAGTGATTCATTAAGCAATTAAGTGAGCAGTTGGCATAGTGGCACAACGCCAGGGACCCAGGTTCAATTCCACCCTTGGGCTACAGACCCCGTGTCTGTGTCAGTTTCCTCCAGGTGCTCTAGCTTCCTCCCATAGTCCAAAGATGTGCAGCTTAGGTGGATTGGCATTGCTAAATTTTGCCCAAAGTGTCAAGGGATGTGCAGGTTAGGAGGGTTAGAGGAGAGAGATTACTCTTTGGCAGGTCGGTGTGGACCTGATGGGTTGAATGGCCTGCTTCCACATTGTAGGGATTCTATGATTACTTTAAAGCACTTTGAACCATTTTTTGAGAAATGGAATAAAATATAATGTCAAGAGAGTCGCTATTCCTTCCTCCAGTCTCAAAAACTGACATAAGTAGCTAAACCTGTTACATCATCCATATTTCTCATGCATGGTTTGATGAATGGAACCCCCAAGGTCTGTCTCTGTACAGCTTTAGTAGGCAAATGAATGAAAGGTCCCTTCTCCAATCTTCTTGTAACTGCTTTTGAACTGATATGATAGCTTAGAGCAGGCCATGATAGGATAGGAAAGCTATGCACACAGCATGTAATTACAAGTGGCTAATCATCTGTAGCCTATGCTGTACCAGCAGCAAAGCAGTTATAGGTCATCACAAACGTTGCATCTATTCTGCGTATTCAATTGTCTGACAGAGAGTTGGGCATTGACTCTGTGAGCTGAATGGCCTCTTTCTGTATCATAATAATTCTGACTCTATTACAAACTAAAACTGTAAAGTAATTAATGAAATTGATGTGCTGAATGTGCATTAATAAATATGCAGATTAAAGTGATATGCATGTAAATCCTGTCTGAGCTTAGTGAAGGATTTGAAACTGATTTAGTCCACAGAGGACAAAAATACTTCTGAACAATTAACCCACAAGGAATGTTGATCTCTGAGTGAAGTAGTCAAAGATTACAGTCCATAAACCATTCAGATTCCTGTGTCAATGAGGGTCTGTTATACTGCATGTCAGTAAATTATCTAGAAGAAACACCCTATTCATTTTTTTTCCAACCCAGTTTCTAACCTGATCTCCTGGAGAATTTTTGTGGCACAAAAAGACATTATTACCTTGTACAGTATCAGTTAAATCCGTTTCTAGAATCTCAGCAACCCCCACTATTTTCTCTGAGGATCAGTTCTATTGGGACGGCTTTGCAGTGGAAACAGAAACAAGAGGCCAGGGGTGTTTCTGAAGTCGTAACAAACAATGCTTGCCATCCAAGACCCACAACAAGAAACAGCAGGTTAACATTCAATCCAGAAATTCTTGCTTTTGGAAAAATACAACCATGTGCTGTACTGATCTAAAATTTAGCACCAAAGCAGCTAACACCAAAGCTGCAGCCAACTTCATTAGTAGTTCCTTTGGCATCAATAACATTCCATAATAAATGGTGCTAAAGCTAATTGAAAATTTACTTCCATTTAATAACATATGGTTTTTGAAAAGACAGTGTTTTGACAGGGTTTATTTACCAGCTTCATTGCACCATGGGAGAAATCAAAACTTTATGAAATACTTCTTGTATTTTAAGCTGATCATCCAAAAATGCTAAATAAAGTACACTCCAAAAAATCTTTAATGCAGAACAGGCAGAAGAACACGTGTCGCTTTGGCTGTGAAGGCAGAAGATGTCTGCAGCAGCAAGGTGATCCTAGTCTTTGTTGCTCAAGATGTCACCAAAATCTGACCACCAACCCATCATGATTGTATGGACAACAACAGTGCTCCAAGGTCCAAAGAATTTGCACAGATGTGTCTGCCAGGTCATTTATGAACTCCTGTAATAATGGTGGATTGGCGGTGGGACAGAGTCAACCTGGGAATCCTAGTGAAGAATCTATATGCAGTCGACAAGGTACATGGAGATCACTGGTCATCTGTCAATGTCTGTGATCTTGAAGAAAGTTTATATTAGGTGAGTACCATGGTTGGTTAAGAAAACTTCGTGCCACTGATGTCATTTTGGACAGCACCATGTGTAACTAGCCAGTCCTTTTCGGGATACCCTCTGTTCACCCCAAATGGGGAGGGAGCTCACGAAGGTGCCCGAGAAACAGGCTGTCCCATTTTTCTGTGGATAGAGAACCACATCCTGTGGAACCACCATCTCTGCAATTTCAGTCGCATCATCTCAAAGAAGAAGTAGAGCAACGGCAAAAATGGAAAGAAAAGGATGAAAATGCTAAACTCTAGACCTCACTACATTAATAGGCCATCCTGCGCTACATATCCAAAGACTCTGGGTCAAAAATCTGCATGAAAACCACATGAAAACTAATGGAAGAAACTCAGTGACT